TCGATGGGCTGAATTGCACAAAACGCATGATCGCACCGGCTAGTCTGGTGCGCGTTTCCATTTATTTACTGCTATTACGCAGCACAAAACGTATAATAGGAAAAGCTGACTTCATGCTGTACTCGTCCTCTCGTTTCTAGTCAGTCGTCTTTCTATCCCGACATCAGTCCAGTGTACTCTAGCAGGTATATACACATTTTTGATAAGGTGTGCTACTGTAAATTTAGTTAAGGCCTGTTGGCAGCAGAATTGGGGCAATGTCGGCGCATTCTGCTCGTCGGTCGACATTGGACCATTTCGTTCGAGCTGCCGAACAAGACGATCTTCTGCTGTACATCACGGCTGCCGTTGGCGTGTTCATGCCTGGTTGCGTCTACATGTGCTACCAGTACGCTCACAAAATGTACATGCGGTACGCCCAGGTTAGCTTCTTCCCTATTTCATCCTCTTTTTGTGTAGTGAGTTTTAATTTTTCCGGAATGGCGCTGGATATTGTTGGTGGAAATTTCAGATTCGCGATCTCTTGTAACATCAGACTGAACTCCGGTTTAAGCGCGTAGTTCGGTACACGGAGAGAGAAGGTTGATTTTGGCTTTTGCCAGGTAGCTGCGGTTCGATTTGGCTTCTGTGATTTGCCCGCTACGCGAAGCACACCCTCTCATATCGGGAATGGCTGCTCACGTTGCCGTTTTTGCAGAGGTGTGAGGCGCTGAAAAGGGAGAACGAGTTGGAGCGTTCCGCCGTTACAGTGTTTTATGCAGAGGGAAGAAAACGTACCGAAGAATTGGCACATCAGGTTGCTGCTGTTCTGGATTGTGAACAGCCACTCGTTGTAAATTTGGCAGATATTGATGCAGCATCATTCACTGAGTATAAGGTGAGCTATAGGTGCTTTTTGCGGATCGGTCTTGTTCAGAATGTCGAACTGTGAATCTGACGAGTTACACCTATTAAAATTCGAACTTAGTCGGAATGTACACATATATTGGGAAAATAAACCTCAGAGCAAAAATAGTGGTTGCGAGTAAGAAGTAAACGAGTAGGCACTCTTCACCCTCGCATTCGTTCAGGACGTTGAATGATGTGATTTGTATCGTTTTGCTTGTCTGTTTTTTGCTGTTTTGGTTGTTTGTCTTGTTTTGTTTTTCTTTTTTTGACTTGATTTATGCTGTTATTACTGGTCTACATGTTCAGTCTTCTGCTTTGCCGGCTTTTCTTTTGAAATGAATAGTTTATTTTATTTTCAAGATTCTGTCACCCAACAGGTACATCGAGGAGGGCGACACCACACTTGAGTTACACTCTAGTGCGAAATATTCTATATTTATCTCTTTTTATTCATAGACGAGTGCCGTACGGGAAAATGCGCTTGTTGCGTCGGTTAACTAACCTGATTCAACAATTGGAACTGATTGGCATGGAGGAGTGCGTAGCCAAGCATGCAGATTCGCGTGGTGGTGGTCGAATCCCAGCAACTCTGGTCGTAGTTCCCCCTTGGTGGCAGACTCCAGGCATCAAAGTCAACAAGCCTCTGAAGAAAGCAAAAAAGCCTGATGTTTAAGAGGCACGACCTTATATAGCATCGCTAAGGGCAATCCATTAACGAAGCTTTACAAAAACTAAATTCCGCTGACGGAGATCCGTCGACTGATATGCAGGTGCACAAACACACTTTCACACCACATAAACTCATTATCACAAGATCACATTCGGTCTGGAGCTTTTGAAAGGAAAAATCACATTCCTTTCCTCTTCCATCGCTACAGCGCTAGATGGGTGCCGTGCAGGAATGCTTACGTAGCAAGCTTTCGTTGATGCTTATCATTTTTGTGAATTTATCCCGATGTTTTCCGGACCATTTGTTACTGGTTTAATTCCAGGGCATTGGCCTTTTTTTAATTGATTGTGCTCCGAATGGGCGTAAAGCGGAGTCTGTGGAATGGTTTTTCGATTTCCTAGAAGACCTGGCATTTGATAAGAAATCAAGCAGTTTACCGTGTAGCGAAATGCACTTTGCTGTCCTCGGTATTGGCTACTCGTACAACACAAATGAGCGATGCAGTAGGGTATGTCATACTATTTCAAATATTATTTTAATAAGTTATCGTTAGGACAGCCAATCATCATGGACTGCTAGTGCTTCGTAGTAATACGTTGCGCAGTTGTATTACGACTCAGCACAGTTCGTCTTATTCCTTTAAAATAATCATTTTTTTAAAGAATAGCCCGCAAGTAGGGCGCTGTTGTAAAGCAGCACAGTGCTTGTGCTGAAGTCAAAAATCCAGCTCCGCTAGCACGACTCCGCCAGTCCTCTACGATTCTTTCGTCTGTTTTGTTGATAAATTACTACTGTCGCATGCAGAACAACCAAAACAATCAGCTTGCTTATTAAGTAATCCAGGGTAATTGGAAGGCACTAATAGTTTTATGAGACTGAGGCTGGTGTCGGTAACTGCTATCACTGTAAGCGTTTTTGATTGCTTCGGCTTTCGTACTGATTGTTGGGGAAGTTCCGCCCGCCATACTAATGCGAAAGTATGTGTTGGCTTCAAATTTCATAAATGCAATGAAAGTTGTGATCGAAAATGTTTTAGGTTGCAAAGGCGTTCACACGGCGTCTGATTGCTATCGGTGCTACTGCCCTTTGTCGATCATACTACATTTGTAGTCGTTCCCATAATAGTACGCTGTTTTTCTTTTTTTTTTTAACTTAATAGTACTTGCATTTTGTTGTGTTGGATGCTGTAGACTGCTTTTACCATGGGAGGAAAAATGAGTAGACTGGAGTGAACAGAAATTCAATCGAAGGGACGTAATTTTGAAGTGCTAAAGTCCGAGAAAACGCTAAATCATGCCACAGCAACTCACTGCTTTCCCAGAGAAGTGCGAATTCGCAGTAGGATTAGACTGGTAATGTCTTATGCGAATAGGCCTGAAAGCGCTAAAATTAGTGCCAAGGAGTATTAAAAGTGCCATGCGTTTTGTATACAAGTATTAGAAATGCCATGCGTTTGGCATACAAGAGTAAAACTGGACGCCGTTTCCAATTCAAGTGCCAAAAATGCTTTTGGAGCGCCAGAATTGGCATACATCACAAAGGCTGGGTGTGTCAGTAAGTTCATTTTTTTTAAAAATCCTGGCTAGAGTGCACCAGGCGGGCCGTGCGATTATGCGTTTTTGCACTTTCCGTGCCGTAGCAACATCGCAAGGAATCACAGTAGCTAACCCTGTGACATACTGGCCCTCGAAGTTCGGGAAGTTAATTGT